TGTTACCTTTTTACTTGCTTTTTAATTTGATTATCATCATTAAGTTTACTGTTAAAGGTTTCCGATAAGAGTTTAGTGTGTTTGAAGGTTACACTATAAATTCAAACAGCTTGTGCATTATTTATTATTTCAGCAAATTTGACTAGAAAGGTTACACCTTACAGGAGGAACAAGAGGATATTGTAAAGAGGAGATCATCTTCTCAAACAGTGCTAACCCTCAATGAGGTCAGATAATATAACGATCCGACTTGTCGTTTTAATAATTAACATCCCGTTCAATGAATTAAGGTCTCGAGAAGTTTCGTAATATGTATTATGACCCGTGGGTGTGGCTTAGTTTGATTTACGGAAGATTTAGAATTAAATTGGAAGAACAATTCTTATTTAAAAGCTTAGATGGAAAGAGTTGACTTTTGAGCAAACGACCTCGGAATGGAACTTTGATGATGTCAATAGTTTCGTATGGTGATTTCGGACTTAGGCGTGTGCACGAATTTGGACTTGGAAGTCTGTAGGACAATTCGACGCATTTTAGCGAAAGTTGGAAAATAAAAAATTTTGGAAAGTTCGACTGAAGGTGGAATTTTCGATAACGAGGTCGGATTTCAATTCCGAAAATTGGAATAGCTCCATTGCGTCATTTATGACTTGTGCGCAAAATTTTAAGTCATTCCGGATTGACTTGATACGTTTTGGCGCAAAATATAAAAGTTGGAAGATTTAAAAAATTCATAATTCGATTCGATGCGCGATTCGTAATTTCGGCATTGTTTGACGTGGTTTGAAGCCTTGACTAAGTTTGTATTATATTTTGGGACATGTTGGTATATTTGGTTAAGGTCCCGAGGGCCTCGGGTGAATTTCGGATGGTTAACGAACTGATTTTTGGACTTGAAGGAACTGCTTGAAATCTGTTGCTGCTGTTTTCGATTCTGCGGAAGCCTCATCGCAGAAGCGACGAGCTTCGCAGGTGCGCGTTTGGCCATCGCTTCTGCGATTGCGCAAAAGCGGCAATCTGTCCACAGGTGCGATCTTGGGCTGGACCGTGCACCTTCGCAGAAGCGGAATTTTTCTCGCAGAGGCGAGCCCGCAAATGCGACCAATTTATCCGTAGAAGCAAAAATGGACAGAATTATTAAAGACCAAAATTGGTCATTTTGCCATTTTCGATTGGGGGTTTTGGAGCTCGGTTTTGGGGTGATTTTGGAGGGGTTCTTCACGACTTTGACTTGGGTAAGTGTTCTATATCCTAAAGTATTGGATGTCGAGTTGTTATTGGAATTCGATAAAATTGGTATGGTTGAACTCGTATCAAAATAGGTATTCGAATTTCGTAAATATTATATCGGGTGCCGAGAGGCGGGCGCCGCGTTGACTTTTGTTGACGTTTTAGGATAAATTTTTAAGTCGACGTTTTATTATCCGAAATTATTTTCGATGAATTTTAATGAAGTTATACAATTAATTTGGATAGATTTGAGCGGCGTGGAGGTCAATTCAAGCAATAAGGGGATTTTGGAATATCGGCATAACTTCAAAAAGGTAAGTATCTTGCCTAACCTTGAGTGGGGGAATTACCCCTTTTGCATCGAGTCTTATGTGCCATTTGTGAAATGTGGAAAGCCGTGTACGCGAGGTGACGAGTACGTACTTGGGCTTATATGTGCAAAAGTTTATTGAGTTAAAGTCTTGGCCATATTGTATAGTAAATTGGATAATTATTGACATTTATTTAATCATCTATTTGCCATGCCTCAAATCACATTTATTGAACTTGTTTTTGTATGACAATTTGATGTGATTATTACTTCTATATTATGTGGATTCCGTGAATTTGATGATTTGATATTTCCTGAAATTTAATTTCATTATGAATTTTTCATCTACAAATAATTAATTAACAAAACTTAAGAAAAAGTATTAATATAATTACCAAAGTTTGGATTAATGAAGTCGTTGCCCTATGCTGATTATTTTCTATCTCTGTTGATTATCTTTGAGGTTTTATACACATTGTGTGGAGCCTTGGGCTATTTATTGTGAAATTAATTAATTTTGTTATATCTTTGGAAATTGATTGTGGCCATTGGGCAAATCGTGATATGAATTGATTTTGTTATGTTGCCGTGATAATATTCTGTGTAAATTATTGTATTATTTGAGTTATTATTTTGAGGATATAAGGGTGGCATTTCACTGTTGATATTATGTGGGTATAAGGGTGGCATTTCACTATTGTTATGTGTGTTGAAATATTGTCTGAGCGGAGCGATAAGGGNGTGAGCGGAGCGATAAGGATGGCTATATGAGAGATAAAAATGACAATAAGAGCGATAAGGGTGGCTATTAATATTGTTAGGGCGGAGGGATAAGGAAGACTATTATAGGAGTGATAAGGGTGACTATAAGATAGATAATGGTTGCTATTGTCAGGGATGATATGTGATGATGTGGAGTTGTTGCGTTGATAACTTTTGTGTGATGTTGTGATTTTCCTTATGTTTATTTTTATACCTTGTGCAATTTTTCTTTTTATTGGTAAATTGATAACAGTCTGATTTATGTTAAAATTGGGAGCTTGTGGCTATTGCCAGGCAGATTATGTTATATGGGACCGGGTTGTACGCCGCAAACATGTATGATTAATGTTATATGGGATCGGGTTGCACGCCGCAACAAATATGAAATGTGGGCACGAGGTGCCGGAAAAAATATGATGATGATATTTGGCACGTGAGTTGTCCATGCAGTTGTGATATGAAATGTGGGCACGAGGTGTTGTGGTTAAATGATAATAATATTTGGCACATGAGTTGTCCGTGCGGTTGTGATAGAGAAATTGGCACGAAGTGCCGTGAAAATATAAAATTGGGCTGAGACCTGTACTTTATGATTTTGAAATGAGGTGTTAGAGGGTGACTTTTATTCGAAAGATATTTATTTGAGAAAATTATATTTGAAAGAGATTTATTGAAAGAATTATATTTGAAAGATATTTATTTGAGGAAATTATATTTGAAAGAGATTTATTGAAAGAATTATATTTGAAAGATACTTATTTGAGAAAATTATATTTGAAAGAGATTTATTTGAAGGAATTATATTTGAAAGATATTTATTTGAGAGAGATTTATTTGAAAGAATTATATTTGAAAGATATTTATTTGAGGGAATTATATTTGAAAGAGATTTATTCGGAAGAATTATATGTGAAAAATATTTATTTGAATGACTTGATTTAATTAGGTGTACTAGTATTTATTAATTGTTGAGCGATATTAATGGTGTTCTTGTTGCCCTGCTGTGCATATCACTGGCTGATTAGTGTTGCCATTATTGTTATTGTTTCCTATTATTTTATATACTATATTGCACGGGTTATTGGACTAGTGAGTGTCTTGACTGTACCTTGTCACTATTCCACTGAGGTTAGTCTTGATACTTACTGGGTACCGACCGTGGTGTACTCATACTACACTTCTGTACATTATTTTGTGCAGAGCCAGGTATTGTAATGTAAATTATTATTCAAACAGTATTGAGTATTCACTTAGAGTGCGTGACTCAGTATTACCAGTTTTGGGAAGTTTTCATATTTGTTTCCGCTGTTGGTTTTGATTACCTATTTAATTCATATTCAAAATTAAAAAAAATGGCTTGAAATGTAATTGTATTTAGCTTACCTAGTCTTAGAGACTAAGTGTCATCACGACGTCTGTGGTGAGATTTTGGGTACAGATAAATGAAATATTTTTATAATCCCCACTGGAGCAATCTGCTAACTATACCTCTAGATGTTTATCGAGTCATTCTTTTTGACGACTTATTATTAAACTCTTAAGTTGTGTACTTTTGACCCTCTAGGTAATTGATGAAACACTATGCCTTGTTAATGCTGCACCACTTTTTAGAGAAGCTACAGCTGCTGTTAAAATGAATGGTCTTAGTCCATATGCACCTCTTGTCATCATTTCTGCTTGCTCTTTCCATTCTCCAACCATTCTCCTTCATTCAATAACTAAGTTAGTCCGAAATATTTTGAAGTTCTCTTAATATCATAGGATACACTATACCTCAAGGATGGAAGGTTTTTGGTTTGGACAAGGAATGTTCATATGGATCCTAACAATTGTCCGAACACTAAGGAATTCAATCCTTGACGATGGGATGTAAGTTGCAGCAGTGCAATACATGTCTTAAGAAAAGACATTCATCTATTTAAGTGATTACAGTACAAATCCTTACATGACAACTATCTTCATTTTTGTCGGATTATGAAACTAAGCCTGGTCAGTATCTTGCCTTTGGAGTCAGAAGCAGGTTTTGTCCTGGTGCAGACTTGGCCAGGCTTGAAATTTCAGTTCTCCTACATTATTTTATTCTCAACTACAGGCAAATGTTCAGTTATTATGTATTTGTATTCTTCAACCATCCATGTAAATCTTATGTGCTCATTACTTCATTGAAAAGTATAAATGATGATTAAAGATATGAAGAAAAAGAGCGTATGTTGTTATGAACTTATGTTTAATTATTTGAAACTGAGATCAAACAAGACTGTGATTACAAATGCAAAACGTAGTGAGAGAGTTTTGATGTGCAGGCTTGAGAGGCTTAATGCAGAGAGCAAGGTGCAATATTTTCCGAGGACCAGGCCTTCTGACAATTGGCTTGCAAGAATTAGGAAGCTGTCTGCAGAAAATATATGAAAGACTTCTGATTCTTTGCACTTTAGCTGATGCCTTGCTTCCAGTTTGAAAATGATTATGTGCCAATCATGTATGTAACTGAATAAATGATTTCACCATTCTGATTGCTTTATATGTAAATTTAAAGCAATATGCGCTGTCCCCCGTGAATATGATCATGAAAGCTTCACATGCATTTTCAGAAAAGATACATCTACGTAACAGATGAGTTTAAATGGTGTAGCATGGTCAGTAATGATTCATATAGCCGACTCCAACTTGTTTCGGACATAGACGTAGTTGCTGTTGATACATCTAAACAGGGTGGAATTCGTTTAAAAAGAATTGGAAGATGAAATTTAGAGGACCATATGATCTTAATTACAAAAATCGAATCACAGAACTGCATAGGCAAAGATGTTATGAGACAGGTGGAAAATAGTTTGATGCATGAACAGTTTTATTTATTGACTGGAAATTTGTATAACAATATCAACCTTAAGCACACCAGTTAGTCCAAGTTGGATCAAGAAGCACATTCAGGTGTTAATGACTATCTTCTTCTTCACAGAATTTTGTGTACTCTTTGGAACCCATCAAAGATTCCAATTCTGATGGACTACTTGGCTTCACTTTAATCATCCATCCATCTTCATATGGGCTTGAATTTACCTTGATTGCAGAAAGTAACAATGGAAATAAGATAATACAAAAATGACATTTCAACCAACTGGTAATTGAACTATCTATTAGTGAAATTTCTTATCAATCATGATAATTACCAAGCCAGGCGTTTCAGTAAGCTTTGTGTTGACCTCAACAATCTCGCCCGAGATTGGACAATTAATGTCACTAGTGGCTTTGACACTTTCAACAGCTCCGAAACTGCTTCCTTGGGAAGCAGAACCACCAGTTTCTGGTAGATCAACAAACACTACTTCTCCAAGATGGTCCTGATATCATCCAATTGTTTGAAAAATTAACTTCTACTCCTAAATTATGAACATCTCTTAACTGAAATATATTTCGTACACACATCATTCAGGAACTTGTTTCTGGTATTTGATCCAACATGCGTATCTGTTGAAGTGCATCACAAATAGACATGTGCACTATAATTCTAATATGCCTTTACTTCAATTTTCCTTATTTTCTTTTCCAGTAAACCAATAAGTTCATCATGTTTTTTCCTGTGTAAATTCATGGACAAGCATGAGTAAACTTTAGCTTTTGTTAGCATTGTGCTATAGAGATGTTATTCATTTAATTGGTTTATTCGGATTAGCATTTGCAATCGCCTAGAGGAAATGTGTCTTTAACTCCTCTAATACAAGCTTTGGCCAGAAAATGTGACATGAGAAACTCAATACACACATCAATATAGGATGGACAAACAGGTAATCTAACTTTTACCCTTGGAAGATCACCAATAGAAATAAACAGGCCTAAAGTCATTGATAACAATATTTCATTGGAGAAATGAGTTCAACTAGTACCATATATTGACAATGTTAGTAGTGGCGTATCCAATGAACAAGGTATGAGTGCATCTGAACCCATAACTTTTGGCTTAGACCATGTATATGTGTTAAAAAAATCAACTAAATATCTACAAATAATAGATGTTGCATCCAGTAAATTAGATTAAGGTGGTACAATTACAAATTTGAACTCATAAAGTTCACATCTTGGATCCGCATCAAAATGTTAGCTCGCCTAAATACACTACTAGCGTCAAATAGATTTACGTTATTAGTGTATATAAGTTAAATCTATGAGGAATATATGCAAGCATTAATTAAGCAGAAGACAGAAGACGAACCTGAGCATGATCAGTGATGCCAATAGTGGCCACTGAACCGTCATGTTTCACCCATTCATGTGAAGATGCATACTTCAGCCCATCAAGAACTGCAAAGCTAGCATTTCTAAGAAATTTGAAGTGGAAAAAAAAACATAATACTACGTTTGAAAGTAAGAATATAGACAAAAGTGCAATGAATTGTGAACGAGTAATTACCAGTTGAAAAGCATCTGGAGAGAGAAAAGGCAGGGGCAATTAGATTGGTTCGGGAGATTCTTAGTGCGTTGGCTGTTGAAGAAGCCCACATTCTCAGAGCCATACTTTTCTATTATTTCTTGTTTCACAAAAGATGAAGAACGATACTGCTTGCTATATACTTGTAGTTTTTATTATCTTGGATGAACGGTGGAAAATGGAAGCCTCATCCTATGAACTGAACTCTGTGACCAAGTGCTAGTAACGGTATAATAACCAGCAAAAGTTACAACGCATACCTACTAAATAACTGGGACGGGTGACCCTAATTTTAGGAAATTTTAGCTACTATAGTAAAGCTTTACACCCTATTTATTATAAATAAAAATACTTTTAAAATATTATTTTCTATAGCTACCTTTTAGTTTTTATAGCAAAATATGTATTTATAGTTACTTCCTACTGTTAAACCATTAAATACGCTATCTAATATTTTTCTCTCTTATTCTTTCAGTTTATACTCTCCCAAAATCACGCATAGTATGTTATTTCTCTCTCCACCATCTCTCTCGTTCTTTCCTATATGAACCAGAAAATTGGTTTCCTCCGACAGACGGTGAGCTTTTCCATGATTTCCATGGTTATCACTACTCTTCAGCCATGAAAACAGTGAGCTTTTCCATGATTTCCTGCAAGTATTCTTAACATTCTTTTCAAAATTATTCTTTCCCAATTTCATAGGACGTGGAGGCGTGACACCAATTTTTTTCCCTTTTGATTCGTGATTTCTTGCTTCTATCAAGAACTATGAAATTGTGCAAGTCGTAAATCATCAACACAAATTTTCACCACTCACCACTAAAGTTTTTGGGTATTTGGCCGGTTAAAGCTTCTTCTTTTTCTCTTCAATAATTTTTTTTAAATATCCACCATTGTTAGGTTTTCTGCAGAATACCCACTAAAGCATTCAATTTCGAAGGGCCATCTTTCGATTTGTAAATTACTCAAGAGGAATCTGTATTTGCAGGTTCATCAGCAACCATTGAAGCCGAAAGGAGAACAAAAATACGCAATGACCCTAATTGTAGATGTATTTATATGTATTCGAGTCTGCATACATTGATTTTTAGTTTCTACAATGATTTTCTCTTCTTGTATTTAGATGTATTTATATGTATTCGAGTCTGCATACATTGATTTTTAGTTTCTACAATGATTTTCTCTTCTTGTATTTAGATGTATTTATATGTATTCGATAAGGTATACACTGATTTTTTATTTTGTACTGTAATTTTTGACTGTTGTATTTAGATGTATTTATATGTATTTGAGTTCTTACAACAACATTTTAAAATACATTGTTAGTTCTATCATTTTGATGTTATTCATCAATTAGTTATGCATTCAATCTAACTGTATTCATCTATATTTTAAACCTAACTGTATCCATATATATTTAACACAATAATACAGTGAAATACTCTCAATACAAATAAAAAATCAATGAATACAACCAATGAAATATATTTAATAAAGCAGTAATACCATGTGTTAGGAATAAATAAAATATTGTGAATACAAAAATAAACTTGAATACATTGAACACAACCGTTAGATACAACAGAATACAAGCACTAGGTTTATTATGAAATATACAGGCAATAGGTTACTATTACAGGTTGTATTCGGCATAAATACATGATGTATTCATATACAGAAAATCGAATTTCAAAATATTTCTGTAGATACTTGTCTCAATTCCGAGCAGAACCTCGAACAATATCAGGGAAAAAAAGAAAAAAAAACTCGAACTGTATCAGAAAAAAAGAGGGACTGAAACTCTGAAGAATGCTATGTTTTTTGGTATTTAGTGTCCGATAAATCTTCTCATTAATTGGATTGATAATGTTGTGTGTTTCAATTGATTTAGGGGAGTTATATTAGGAGTGTATCCTGTTAAATTAGCAGTTGTCACGACCCGAAATTTTCACCTTCGGGACCGTGATGATACCTAATATTTCACTTGCTAGGAAGACCTACGTTAGAATAATATTAGCCATTTTAAAATATTTTAAATTAATTAATAACAAAGAAACAAAGTCTGAAATCAAGTGAATAATCCATAATAATAGCGATATTTAAATACCATCCCAAAACTGGTGTCACAAGTGCATAAACTACTAGAATAATACAAATAAAGGTCTAAATAAAAATAAAGCTATCTGAAATAAATACACAGCTATGATAAAGTGGAAGGGGACTTCAAAACTGCGAACGCCATGCAGCTATACCTCAAGTCTCCTGCGAATAACTGAATCCGAGCAAATCTACTATACGCCGCTGAGACCAACTCCGGTATCTGCACAAGAAGTTCAGAGTGTAGTATGAGTACAACCGACCCCATGTACCCAGTAAGTGCCGAACCTAACCTCGACGAAGTAGTGACGAGGCTAAGACAGGTCACATAGATTAACCTATACGCAATAACAATAATAACAACAAAAATAGAAATAAAACAGGTGTCTCTTTTCAACAGTTGAAGCCAAATCGGCAGTCACAACCAATTATTATTTCAATCAATTTTTATTGCGGCGTGCAACCCTATCCTTATATATCTTTTCAATCAATTCTGTTGCGGCGTGCAACCCTATCCTTATATATCTTTTCAATCAATTCTGTTGCGGCGTGCAACCCGCTCCTCCAATATATTCATTTCAATCAATTCTGTTGCGGCGTGCAACTCGCTCCTTCAATATATTCATTTCAATCAATAATCTGTTGCGGCGTGTAGCCCGCACCTCCAATATCTTCACTTTCATTTCCGTTACGGCGTGCAACCCGCTCCTCCAATATATTCATTTACCAATTCTTATAAAAAAAAAAATTATTCCAATAAATGCAATAATTAATATGAAATTATAAGACAACAAGCATACAATAATTATAATTTATTAGAAATAAGTGATGACAAGTAGCAATTAATTGTGGAAATTAAGGATGTAATAGGTATTTTAATAATCAGTATGTTAAATGTCAAGTGACAATTAAGTCACATAAATCAAATAAGCATGTAGCAATTATAGCATGGATTCAAGGCATGATATTGAGCAAAGAACACAAGAGAAATAATTAATATAATAATTAATTCATGATTTAAAACGATTTATGATTTTTCAAGTAATTATGCAAATAATTAATTTGATGACGTATAGACACTCGTCACCTCGCCTATACGTCGTTCACATGCATTTCACATAATAAATAATTTAATGGTTCTATTCCCTCAAGTCAAGGTTAACCACGATACTTACCTCGCTATGCAAATAAATTTCATGATTCCAATACACACTTTGCCTCGTGAATTCGCGTCTGAAATCTTCAAATCTAATCACAAACAATTTAATATACTCAACACGAATCGTTGGAACTAATTCCATATGAAATTATAAATTTTTCGGATTAAAATCCAAAAATTATTTTAAAAATCAACAGTGGGACACACATCTCGAATACCAGAAAAACTCACAAAATCCGAACACCTATTCCGATACGAGTTCAACCATGCAAAAATTATCGAATTCCGACATCAGATTGCCTTTCAAATCCTCAATTAAAGTCTTTGAAGATTTATACCATTTTCAATCCAATCTTTACCCATTTAAACTCAACAATCTTTTCACAACCTTGTTGGTACAAGCATGTATAACTAATACTCTCACATCCAAGAATCACACTCACAATTACCCATCTTTACCCAAACTCGAAATTGAAGACTAAGGGTTAGAACCTTACCTTTTAGATGAAGATCTTGTGATTAGCTTCCTTGATTCTTGAAAATTGGTACAAGATTGGATGATTAGAATGTTATGTTTCCTCCTTCTCTTTCTAAAATGCTCTTACCTCTCTCTAAAACCCTCAGAAAAATATCCCAAAATAAGCCCCAAGGGATATTTATCAAAATGGGGCCGGGTTATGAAAATAGGAAAATTAACCCTCTGAAATCAAGTCTGCGGTCGCATAATGGACGGTAGAATGGGTATGCGGGTCGCACAATGAACCACATAATCGGTGCCTAGAAATGGACTTCATCGAACAATTCTGCAACTAGTTTTGCGGTCGCATAACCACTTCTGCGATCGCAGATTTAGCCGGAGACTCGCATTCTGCCAGCCTTTAGCAATCTGGTCATAACTTCTTGTAAGAGTGTCCAAATGATGAACGGTTTGAATCGTTAGAAACTAGACTCTAAGTCCTTTCATTTGATATTTTGATCATCATATAACTCCTTATATATATATATATATATATATATATGCTTATCCAAAGTTTAGTTTTATGCGTACTCATTTGGAACTTTAGTCTATTATGAAATTTTCCAACTTAACTTAGACTTAGGCCTCTCCTTAGACCCCACATCACTTATAATATGCCTCGTACACTTGTTATCATATCCTATTGGTATCTATAATATTAATAGTCCTCAAATGAGAAGTAGAGTCCACCCCCAAACACATAACATAACTTATCTTTTCTTTCACCCATTTAAATTTCCCGATTTTTTACTAACTCCCAAAATTTCCAAAAATTTCGCTAGAGTTTCCTTTATAACTGGGCCTATCCACCTGCCAGAGAATTCTAGAAACAAATCCTAACAATACATACATATTCCAATCAACGTAACATAACATGAAAATAATACTGACAGTGGCATCATAAGCAATATATTACTAGAAAAGGAACGCCATTAATATCAACTATTCAGGTGATACGTAACTCATAACAGGTAAGCTCTCAACATCTTCATAGAACACAGAAATGAACATTTAAATTAAAGATGACATTTTTGGGTCATCATAATCTCTACCTCTAAAACAAACGTTCGTCCTCGAACGGAATTAGAAAAGTACATGAGCTGATGAAAAGATATGGATATTTGCTCCGTATGTCCGACTCGGACTCCCAGGTAGCTGCCTTAATCGACTGAACTCTTCATTGTACCCGAACTAAAGGATAACTCTTAGACCTCAACTTACGGACCTGCCGAGCTAGAATAGCTACCGACTCCTCCTCATAAGTCAAATCTTTGTCCAATTGAACTGAGCTGAAGTCTAACACATGTGACGGATCACCATGATATTTCCGGAGCATGGATACATGGAATACCTGATGAACTACTGATAAACTAGGTGGTAGTGCAAGCATGTAGGCTACTTCACCCACCCTTTCA